AGCCATTGGATATGCTTGACTGCTTCAGAAGCAGTAAAATATCCTGATTCAGCTGAACTAGTGGATAGTGTTTGCTGCCGGTGTGATTTCCAAACAACGGGAATCCGGTTAATGCGGAGGACATTTCCTGTGGTTCAACAACAAGTATCAGGGCAGGCGGCATAGTCGGCGCCAGAAATAGCGCCATCGATTGGAGGTTCTTTTTGGATGTACTTTTCAAATAACGGAGAATACGTTGCGCAGCTAGCCAGTGTTATAGGGAGGGGTTCTCTATGTATCGGGCTAATGTATTGAAGGCGTAGCTAATATCAATACGTGTGAGTACATATAGATACTGTAGCGTGCCGATTAATTCACGGTATGCACACATGTGGCGAGGACCGATATTTTTAGATAGTATATCTTGTGTTGCCGGTGTCGGTGCAGGGTGACTCTCAGCTAATTCGAAGGTGTCTAAGGCGTCTCGGATGTAGCTGTCTCGCACTAAGCGGATGGAGTCCGGCGTGGTTAGCACGCGCACGCCCAATAGCCAACTGGGTGTGCCTTAGTCCTTACAATTGAACTCGGCTTGGAGAATTGATTTAAAGTGATCGACATCGGATGGTCGATGGCCACAAATAAGGAGATCATCAACGTAGAGAAGTACAGAGCACTTTAGGTTATCACTATCGGCGATGAATAGGCAAAGATCGCATGCAGCTTGACGGAACCCCATTCCGAGTAATTTGTGTTTGATAAGTGCATGCTATAAGCGACCGCCTGTTTAAGTCCATACAAGCACTTCTTGAGCTTGAGCACACAGTCGGCAGGAAGACCCATCAGTACCGGGTGGCGGTTTCATATAGATGAGCTCAACAAGATCGGCATAAAGGTATGCTGTGTCGACATCCATTTGAGCGACATGCCAACCTTGGGAAGCGGCGACAGCAAGTAAAGTTTGCAATTTATCATGGCTGCATGTGAGGGTGTAGGTTTCGTTAAAGTTGATACCTTTTATTTGTGTAAAACCGCGGACAAAAGGTCGCGATTTGTATTTGTCGAAGATACCATTGATGAGTTTGACTTTAAACACCCATTTAATAGATACTACAAAGGCATCATCAGGAACCTCGTCAAGCCGCAGAAAATTGTATGTACCTGCCTGTGTGAGGCTGTCGAGTTCCCTTTGAATAGAAGCACGTCATAAGTCAGCATCCGGGCCCTTGAGCGCGGCGCGAATAGTCGTCGGGGTAAGTGGATGTTTTTGAACCTTGAGACAGGCACTATAGATACGATGAACAGTGTCGTTGTATGCCGCTTGTTGTTCGGCAATGGCAGCTGTACATAGTTCGCGTGAGGATGGTGGATATGTGAGATTGATGGGGTACACTATGTCATCAACATCGGCATCATCACTGGGAAGGTGGAGTCTAATCGGGGATTGAAGCGCGGAAAGTGCTTTGTGTGTGCTTGTGCGGACATGTTGTAACCCATAACGACGATATTGTTTGTCGGCATGGTTTTGGCGTTTCGTCCGTTTAACATTCGCAAGCGACCGCAAGTATTTTTGGCGAAGGTTGTGCTCTTTGATGGACATGGCCTGAGGGCATGCTGGTGGAGTGGTCGGTGGCTGGACTGTAAGTATGTCATTGTTCTCCATGTTGGAAAGACATGGTAATTGAATTTGACATCACGGGAGTGACATGTTTTACCAGTCTTGAGGTTCAAAATGCGGCATTCGTCATAGTATTTTGATTGACTGTCATGTCCGAGATAGACGCCTATGTTGACGCACGGGATTGGTCGATAAAGACCACCTGACAACCAAAAGGGTGGACGTGTTTGATGCGGTCAGTGGTTAGAAGCCCCAGAAAGTCTCCTATGAAGGTTTGTCGTCCTTGTTGTGTTTGTTATGATGAACGGACTTTTTTAAGGGCGACAAATTGTATGGCTTCACCCCACATATTCGGCGGAATATTGGCTTGTTTCATGTCGCTGAGCATGATGTCATGTATGGCGCCGTTAGCGCATTCGACCAAACCATGTAGTGCTGGTGTTGCGATGGGTACATAACGAATCTGGACATGTTCCTGGATGTTGATGTTATTCAACGCGTGGGATGCGAACTCGCCCCCTCTGTCACACTTGAGTTCGCGTAATTTGGCTAGGTAATCTTTACCAATATCGGTATAGAATTGATCAAGCACTGTGCTCGCGTCGTCTTTGTATTTAAGGTTGTAGACGAGTGTGTACCCGCTGTTGGCATCAACGAATTTGATGTCGCATGTGTAGCCACTTAGTGGTCGTTGGTAACCCGGTATGGAGATCAACATGGAAAACAGTACCTACAGGCGGACATGTGTCGTCGTTCTTGCTAATGTGTCGCACCGGACGACGTCGTATCTTGCTTTTAACACATGGGGTACACAAGGTAAGGTTGGTAGGATGGGCAAGTACATCGGCTTCGGCAGTCAATAAGTCTGCCGTGGGCGGTACAACATACTGGGTGTTTCCAATTCGAGCAATACATGTGTAACGCCATTTCGGGAGTCGAACGACGGTTGTACCATGTTCCAGGAAGGCGTTGGCAGTAGTACGGATGACCTCGACGTGTGAGTGTAATTTTCGCAATGTCTGGTTGTAATTTTTGGTACTAGGAATGAGTGGAAAACCCATGGTGAATAAGCCATTCTCTTTGTCGAGTTTAGCTAGTGTGATACGGCATGTTGTTCGTGTGAATAGTATATGGCCATATAAATGTTGGTCTGGTTGGTTCCATGATTGCGTGAATGCGTTGTGAAGTGGTGCATCATCGTTGAGTCCGGGGTACATTGGCACTTGAGCATTTTTGGCATCGGCGAACAAGTCTATGTCTACTGGTCCGAAGACGGTTGTCACATGTAGGCATGATGTTGTTTTGGAGAATTGTAGTTGTATACTTGTCACTGTGACCCAGTCGGTTGTGCCACTCGGTGACTGTGCTTGTTGTAAGATGGGCCAATGAATATTGTCCATGGTGAATAGGGATAGTGTGGAGTAATAAAGTATTCTTGAGGATGTGGCATTCCGGTGGTGTATCGGCATGTGCTGCTGCCGGGAAATGTATATCATATCCATGCTGTTGGAGAAGTTGGACTGAAATTATATTCTGTGTGGCCGTAGGCATAATGAGTACAGTGCCGAGACCTGGGATCGTCCCCCGTTGTCGTAGAACTATCGGGCTCTTTTTGGGAAACTCAACGATGAATTGGCCTGTCTCTAAATAATGAACGCCATCGGTGGTCGTTCTTATGTGTACCATGGCGCCAATACGCCATGTTGTTCGTGTGAATAGTATATTGCCATATAAATGTTGGTCTGGTTGGTTCCATGATTGCGTGAATGCGTCGTGAAGTGGTGCATCATCGTTGAGTCCGGGGTACATTGGCACTTGAGCATTTTTGGCATCGGCGAACAAGTCTATGTCTACTGGTCCGAAGACGGTTGTCACATGTAGGCATGATGTTGTTTTGGAGAATCGTAGTTGTANACTTGTCACTGTGACCCAGTCGGTTGTGCCACTCGGTGACTGTGCTTGTTGTAAGATGGGCCAATGAATATTGTCCATGGTGAATAGGGATAGTGTGGAGTAATAAAGTATTCTTGAGGATGTGGCATTCCGGTGGTGTATCGGCATGTGCTGCTATTGGGAAATGTATATCATATCCATACTGTTAAAGAAGTTGGACTGAAATTATATTCTGTGTGGCCGTAGGCATAATGAGTACAGGGCCGAGACCTGGAATCGTCCCCCGTTGTCGTAGAACTATCTGGCTCTTTTTGGGAAACTCAACGATGAATTGGCCTGTCTCTAAATAATGAACGCCATCGGTGGTCGTTCTTATGTGTACCATGGCGCCAGAGTTGATGAGGGAAGCGGTGAGGTGGTTATGTACGGGCCCTTCAGGAATATTTTGGAGTATATTTAATTTATAGTGGCATTTGAGTTGCTCACTTGTAGTGGAGTATTGAGTATATATATCGGTATAAGATGTACCATGATTAATGTGAACCATGACGTAGGGGCCCGTACCTTCAATTTTGCATGCAAGCTGCAGCGATATGTCCGGATTTACCGCATTTGGGGTTAGTGCAGTGAAGTGTGCTTTTATCAATCGGGCACTTGTTGCCCTCGTGATCTTTGGAACCACACTTGTGACATATGGATTTCGGACAACCATGAATACTATGTCCAATTTCGTAACAGATTCGGGATTTCTTGAAGTGGTAGGTGAAAAACGGATACCTTTCGTTGTGGTGAATGCATTGATACCAGATCGAAAGATGGACTGTTTTCCATCTGAGGCTAATAATCGTCTTCATACTTCAAGGTGAGTCGGCAGACCTCATTAATATCAAGTTTGGTGATGTCCATGGCAAATATTGTAGACCGAAGTAGGCGATAATCATCACCGAGGCTGTATAGCAACGCACATATGAGATTTTTTTCTGGGATGTGTTCGCCGACATCTAGGAGACCATGGCGTAATTCCTACAGTTGCTGCATACTTCGTTCAGTGGAGCCAGTGGCCGTAAATGTGATGAGGCATTTCATAGCATCCCAGAATCGACCGTGGCTACCGGTGTTGTTATAATTAAAGAACTCAGACGGTGATTTAGAGTAATGGTTTTTGGTGAACAGTGGTAAACAATTCCTCTTTGATTGAGTCTATCGTTATACGTTGGCATCGGGCATCGGCGAGCGTATCGGACACCACAAAACTGCTCATAGTCTGGATCAAGTCGATGAAATACTCCGAAATGCGCAAGTTCCATTTTAAGACCCATGATCTATTTACTAAAGTTTTCCCAATTCGCAAGTTTAGTACGGTCGTATATGTCTTTGTACTTGGGCCCATATTTTTCGGCATAGCATGATGAATCTACTTCTACAGCATTAGAGCTTTTTTGAGTTTGGCGATAGACTTCTCGGACTGTTCATAGAGACGCCATTGAGCTTTTGTTAGACGATCTGTTCGTTGTTAGTGATCGATTTGTAGTGATTCGGGCTTGGCTAGAAGCACTTTGTGTTTATCACCTAACTGCACATTATGACGTTTGTAGTTGTCGAGATCAGTTTGAACATCTTTGCGTTTTTTGTTTGCAGGATATAGATCACTACGTGCCATTGTATGATGTACTATTGTTTTCGCAGCAGAGCCGAATATTTCATCATAGGAGATGTGAATATCCTTGATAACGTTGTTGATGGCGTCCATGTGACCATTGGCGGATTCGAGAGAGGTGTATGCGGGTAGTTCTGGCCAGAATTCTCTCGCGAAAGTCTGTGTCTCGTTGAGAGAAGTAAAAGCTTTGGGCCAGTTGATGACCTCCATTTTGTTACGTGTGAGATTGATTGGCTAAGTGTGTTAAGTATTATGAACTGTAATCAACCTGTGAGGCTGATGAGTGTTTGGGTAGTATGGTTGTTTTAGTCGGTTTGACTTGATGTCTATATAGTGTTTAGTTTAGGTTGATGTTTAGATGGGTATTAATTGTAGTTTGACTTACTATCGTGTGATATTCGAGGCCCATAACCTGTTAGACGAATGTAAACAGATAAGAAGTGAAGTAAATTTATTAGATTCCCCTACTGGGGTCACATAGATTTTCACCGCTCTTTTCTGTTCTTGACACCGTGTCCTATTGCTTGCGACATGACACCTTTCAGTTCATAAACCGAACTGTTTTTATTCTTGAGATTGTCATTGACTGATTTGGTATGTCCAACAAGTAGACTGAATGGCACAATATCTAAGTTCCACTTTGATATAACACATGGCCTCGGAATAAATAACCATTTACCGGATATGTTATCCAGGTTCGTACCAGACTTTAATAAATCAGTACGAGAGTTCTAAGCCATCGATTGGAAGTGTAATCCACGATGGTTCGAGATGGCTCAATAGATACTTGGGTCACATACAACAAATCTGTTTGCTGCCCTTCATAGCGCACAACTTATAGATTATAGGACATTAAATCCTCTTGTAGGAGATACGTTTCAAATAGATCTCTCTACTGCGTAGGCTAATCCACCATGGAAGTTAATTGCCCGGTTATTAAATGACGTCCATATACACAAAGCTACCATAATGTTGTGTTGCACACTACGGGAATTTAGATCCATGGCTCAATAAATTAATAAGCATGATATAATGCAAGCCAGTATATTTAAATAGGGAAGTATATACCTTCCTCTATCATGATACCCGGGCAGTCCAAAAGACGCCCCGGAGGCATACTATAATGTATCGCATAGGTCCCAATAAGAACTACCTCTTGGACACCTTTTGAGACCCTCCTTGAAAAGTCGCAGAGTCGGAAGTTACACTCTTCATAAATTAAACCTAAATCAGTTCAAGAGCGATACAGCACGTGAAATCTGTGCACAAGAAATACAATCTACAACTGACGTTACAGTTAAGAAGCGGGGTGATTCTATATAGGCAATGTCTCAGTCTTTCAATCCCTCAGAATATTACTTTGTTCACGAGTCATACATAGCTTTATTTTTTGACTACTCTCGTATACTTAACCTTTTATTGAAACTCTAAGATACTTCATTACGTTAACAGCTTTAAGACAGTAATATCGCCTTAAGAGACCGATCTTTACAAGATATCAGTAGCATCTTCTAGGCGATCAATTTATTTGAACAGTTGGTGGATGGTGGCGCCAGTGAGTGATGTCTCTTCAGAGTAATGACGAGAGAGACGAATGGCTGCCACTTTTTACTGTGCGTCCAGATTTTGGAATACCTGCTAATGCGTAATAGAGGAGGAGAAGGTTTAATGCCACGACTGACGAGGAACTGGCGAGCTTGCTTCTGCTGATCCATGTCCAGTCCACTGAGAAAGATATTAATGATGCAGTCGTCAGCTTTTGGTAGGCAGTTTGTTGATGAAGTTTAGTACATCGGGTGGCCCAGGTGTACATGAGGTTGCCGACATCTCGTACGAATTGGCGAAGGTTGATGGCCATACTACTGGAGAAGGTGGGCAAGTAGGGCTCAATGTGGTGCAACAAGAAGTCCTTGGCTAGGAAAGTCGACTACATCGTCGGTGATGGATTGAATGAGTAGAGGTTGTGCCTTGTGGTAGGTGCTATCCTATTGATGCCTAGCAGGAAGGTGCTGGCGAGCATCGTTCGCCCGAGGGGAAGGCGTTAGTCCGAGCATGAATGAGTTCCTGTTTAATCGCTGCTGAGACCCGTTGAGAAGCAGTGTTTGCTGTTTCTTCGGGCGTCTGATCATGGAATTTAAAGATTTGGGCTAGGGACTGTTTCTGACCAGCGATGATGTTGGCGGATAGTCTGGCATACAATTTGTCAATATTGACATCGTCTAAGGAGAGACGGGGTCTAGGGTACAAGTTATTCCGTGCGGAGTCCTCGTCAGAACTTTGAGTTATAGTAGTAAAGTTTAATTAAATGACCATAACCTACTAACTACTATAAACTTAGTTTCAGAAGAAATATATGTCTATTGTTAGAAATCCCACCATATATACATAAGTAAGGCAGGCTGGAGAGCATGGTCCTCTCGTGGGTTGGCCCTGGGAAATAAGTCTGATTAAAGGTTCTAAACCCAACGAAGAAAACTTGGTTTGCTTTGACACCCTTCATGAACTTTAAAATATGCATGTACTGGTAATATGTATGTACTGTATGTGTACGTCGCACTGTACACTCACACGTTCACCTTGTGTGTAATGGCTACTCCTAGGACTTGGTCCGAAAGGAGGTGCCCCTGGTACCGTGCGTGACTTATTCAGTGGCGCTAGGACTGCCGACTATTGCACATTAATATCACATGTGTTATTTTTATCACATGTGGTTCTGTTCATGTGACTGACTCTGAGCAGTCCAATACTTCTGGAAGTTCGGTAAACCTTTTGGGTCTGGAGCCCCTTACAAGCCCCAACTGATGGTGAAAATTGTGTGGTGAACAAACACTCGGGGCTGACGCCCCAAAATAAAAATTGTCAGTTCCAAAATTTACACAAATACAAATGGGAGGAGAACTTAAACACTAGTACAGCGAATACGTGGAAGAGAGCCGTGATAGAGGAGATAGATGGGGAAAATGTCGGGACTATCCGACAGATGCACCCATAGCAAGGTAGCGACACATAAATTAATAAAGTGGTAACTTAAGATATGCCTTAATAAGTTAAGTGCAAGTTATAAATAGAATAAAAACATCCAGCCTGGGATGATGGATATATGGAAACCATAGAAAGGTATGGATCGCCGGTGTTGACCCGCATGTCGGATGCGAGCAGTGAGGTTGAATACAGCTATTGCCAGGCAATATAATGAACAATCGGTTTTCACTCGGGAGGCGCGTGAATGAAAACATAGAGCCGATGGGCGTCATTGGCCGATTGGGCCCCAGGACCGTCTTTTCACTACGATGGAAAGCTATAGCCACCCAACATATCCAGGGAGACGGCGATCAGGAGGAAGATCGGCAAGGTGTAGGTCAATCGGTCCATGAAACGACGCCTGCCAGGCACCCAGCTTTGACGCTCGTATGAGGGGATAGAAGGCGAAATCTTGGGCTGGGGGCTGGGGGACGTGGTTACTGGCCAGGCAGCACGCAAGCGCGTATGTAGAGTATGGAGAGTAGCTGAAAGTACGAGCCAAGGAATACAATAGACCTCTTCTCAAATACGGTTATCTCAGCTAGGATAAGTCCCTAGTCTGAGAAAACCGAACTGAGTCTTTATTTGTGTTTTCAATAGACTCAGGATTTACTTGAGTGTTTCTCTCACACGCGGAGTTCTGGCATAGCTTACCGCTTCTACCGCTAATATTTCTGATGACTCTAATATCAGAAATATTCCAATCCTAGTTCCAAAACTCAATATTTGATTATCCTGGGTTTTGGGATTTGTATTGGGTTGTGGCGCATGGCCTACCATAGTCACAACCCGTCGTAAGAACAGTCGGCGGCCGACTGCAGAGGAAGCATAGGAGAGGCGTCAGTTGGCGACCACGCCGAGATATCTCGATGCGGCGGCAGGAACGAAGTGTATGTTCCAACGTCAGGGAAAATATCCGCTGCGCCTTCGCGCAGGAGTACGGCTCGAGATATAGTCTCCAACGGATCCGGTATCTCCGGGGCCATGGGAAACGGGGACCCGAGAAGAGCAAAGCGCGATTTCTAATATTACTGCGTGTCCTGCGATACGGACCACACCGTGTGTAAAACAGCAAGCGTGACCGGACGAGAACTAGACACCAGCATTGGTTGTGGGACAAACAACGCACTTACGAAATCCCAGAAGCCAGCGGAGACGACGTACGGTGTCGCTGTGTAAGATAAGTGTTGCGGCCCAGTGGGATTACATTAGGGATCACCAGCAGGAACAGCGACACTAGATGCCACCATTTGGCACGGGCCATGCATGTGTAGCAAAGTGTGATGCCGGCCGCCTGGTCAGCGGCTACCTTCAAGAGTACTCGTTCTATGAAGCGCCACAGGGGATTGCACCACAAATTAAGCAACGCCCATGACACCGCAAAGATACCTCCTTCAGGAGAGGCTACGTAAAGGGTGCGTAAAATGGACACACAAAGCCGTCAGTCTCATGCAAATTAAGATGCTGGTCGGCCAAGCAGAACCAGTTAAACGCTAACATATATTGTGTTGACGTAATCGGTAGAGCAAGTGAAATGACCCAAGTGACACGCTTGTCGGACATTTTTACCAGCGTGCATGCCAGTTGCATCTCGAAATGGATAACGGATGGCAGCCGAGAAAGTAGGTCAACTGTCCTGTTGTCTTTAGAATCGCCAGCAGGAACAGCTGTGACCCTAGATGCCACCATTTGGCATGTGTAATCTGTGGGCAGCAAAGTGTGTACCGGCCTCCTGGTCAGCGGCTATCTTTAAGAATATTCGTTCGTTGAAGCGCCACGGAGAGTTGCACTGAAAACCTAGCAACTCCCATGACACCGCAAAGACACCTCCTTCACGAGAGTGCATGTGTAATCTGTGGGCAGCAAAGTATGTACCGGCCTCCTGGTCAGCGGCTATCTTTAAGAATATTCGTTCGTTGAAGCGCCACGGAGAGTTGCACTGAAAACCTAGCAACTCCCATGACACCGCAAAGACACCTCCTTCACAAGAGTGTGCGTAGAGGGTACGTAAAAGGAATAGTTTGTTTGTTCCTCGGGCACGCGACGCCGTCAGCCTCATGCGGACCAAGACGTTGGTCAATCAAGCGGGACTCAACCGCTAACTTATATGTGTTGACGTAAACGGTAGAGCAATGAAATGGCCCAAGTTACACGCTTGTCGGACGCCTTCATCAACGTGCGTGCCAGTT